TCCGATAGCTTGCTCTTATTCTTCTTGTTGTTATTATTATTATTATTATTGTTGTTCTTATTATTGTTATTATTCTTTTGTGTTTCTTCTTCTTCTTGTTTTTGTTCTTTTGTTCGTCTTCTTCTTCTTCTTCTTCGTGTTCTTGCTGCTGCTGCTGTTGTTGGTGTTGGTGTTGTGGTTGTGGTTGTGGTTGTTGTTCTTGTTGTTGTTCTTGTTGTTGTTCTTGTTGTTCTTGTTGTTGTTACCCGAAGCATAACAAAGCTTGGCAGTGGAAGAACAACTTCTGGGCACCTCAGACCGGGTGGCATTACCTAAACTGCAAAGGAGATCAAAGGAGTCAAACATAATCAGTACCTGTATGACCTATATGATCTATAGGTTTTCCCCGCTTTGTTAAACATCCGCCTCTTCACAAAGAATCTAAGGCATCTGCTGCACGGCCGGTCTTGTTCAGCAAGACGCAGGTGGTCTTAGCATCTTCGGAGCTTTGGGGTGCAGCCAGTCTTGCGGAAAACAGAAAAGATCCTGGAGTCCTGCAGATCCCCTAATAGAGAAACACATAGAAAAAACATTGGATGCGATGAGAAGGATCAAGGGGTCTCCACTTTTTGACTCTTTTGGCTCATGTTATGTATACATATTCCGTCTTGTTTGAGATCCTTTACATAAGAGGATTTCTATGGATTTCTGGCCTTGACCTGAGCCAACCTAGCCCTTCCTCGCATTTGCTTGAGACCTAAACGCACGAAATACACGGGAAACCGCGAAACCCGGCGAAACCCAAGAAATTCCAAGAGAAGGACTTTGCCCTCCGGCCCAGCCCGCCTGGAGCTCCCAATCCAACTTCAACACATGGACGCCCGGCCCCACTTGGGAATTCATAGCCAGCCACCGACATCTTGCGTCACCTCTTGTCAAATCCAAGAATATCTGTCACCCTACTACAGTAGCCGAAGGTTCGGAGCGAGCTATTTCTTGGAACATGTTGCAGGGGTGAGTCCACTCTTTGGCCGAGCTGCCAGTAGTTGCCAGGGCTTTTCTGCCAGAAGCTCCTCAATGAGGCCAAAGGGGCTCTGAAGCACCTCAGTCCGTGTGGGCCCACATGCACGGCCAAGTGCAGGCTGGCTGCGTGAGCTAAGATGCTTGGACTCATCACTGGATGCCTCGGAGATCTTTTGATTCAGGAGTTCAATGGCTGAAACAAGCCGCAACTTCAGGTTTTCCGGATGTCTTTTCTGGCCGGCTCCAAAGTTGAACACGTCTCCCATCCTTCACCGCATGGGCCTTTTTCCTCCTTCGGGCTCCAGCTCCAGTGGCAACAACTTTCGGTTCCGCCGGCTATCAATCAGCTGCCGCAGGGCATCGGCCTGGGGTGCTGATGGGCCACTGGCCGCGGCGTGGTGAAGGATGATGATGATGATGATGATGATGATGATGATGATGATGATGATGATGATGATGATGATGATGAGGATGACGATGACGATGATGATGATGATGATGATGACGATGATGAAGCTTTACATGTAGCAAAACAGTCTTTTGAATCTCTGAAGGCAAATCAACCGCTACCATAATCCTTGGAAGGAATTGTGAGTCAGGTCAAAAATGCAAACGCCGTGGCGCACACTCAATCTGTAAACCTCATGAAAACTCCTCAAAACACAATCCTCTGCTGTTGCAAGTGCCTTATATACCTCACCTTTCTTGGCTGGGTCAATCACAAATCAAGTTCTAAAAATTTCTACCCATCCCATGAGTTCAAAGACCTTAAATTAAGGCTGGGATTCCACAAAAACACACTTCGGGCGCCCCCAAAAACGACACAAAAGAAAACGCCTCCGGATCCCCAGTGGAACTCCCTATTCCGTCTGGAGCCAGGCCTGCTCCGTCGTCAGCTGCCGCCGTTCCACCCCGTGGAGCCCTCGCAGCCGCAGCTGAGCGGCGTCGGCGTCGTAATCGCCTGCTTCGGAATCGCCGGGGTCAAGGTGTTGTAGTGTCGTGTTCATCTCTATATGATAAGTTGTACTTCAGAATCATTTGCTGAAGTGGTACTGGAGAAGGCCAAGCTGTCGTTGCAGGCAAGCCCTTGCTTCTTCAGAAATCGTTGTGGCTGGGTCCCACATTCTTTCTTAACGCAAAAGAAAGGTTTAAAAAGGAACGCCTGGCCTTCTTCCCGGAAGAGGCGGCTGGCAAGCCGCCAGGTCATTTCCGCCTCCTCATGAAACAACTCTCATCGGACATTGAGCCTGAACGAACGCCAGTTGGACTAAAATACTTCTGTAGATTCAATCACACTCCAAGCATCTTCAAGCCGTTTGTGGATTCCCTATTTTGTCAGTATGCATTCCCTATATCATCCCCTCAAGGTTCCTATGCTTCGGTTGGTCGAAGCTTGGATGCACTCCAAGCCCGAGGAACACATACGGGCAGTCTTGGTCGGCCACCAAGTGATGCCAAATTGTTTTGATGAAACGACTAAAATTACTTTCTGACAGCAATACAAGGGTGAATTGGTTTGGCATGCCCCAAACTGGCATCTGCCATCATAAAACCTGGATTCTGACATATATTCTGATTGGATCCTGAATCTCACGAACTGTCGCGGTCCCACCTGTCATTACGCATGACCAACCCGAGCAGTTTTTCTGCAGATCAAACTGGAATACTGTATATATCTCCATAGAAGTCCTCCTCCCCACGGTCCTCGTCTCCGACTTCATGGAGAACCTCACGCCCGTCAGGAGAGTCAAGAAAACCACTCACGGCACAACGCACGGGTCAGCCAGCAGGGCACCCATTTGACTATTTTGCCGCGTTGATACTTCAGCATCTTGCGCCCCTTGAATCAAAAACACATGAATGATATAGGAACTTCCAAAGAGCAACATAAACAAAGGTTCAATAGTGTGATTCCGTACGCATCGTACGGCTCAACATGAAAGACCTTCTCAAACACGGGTGTGCAGCACGGCGAGACCGGAGATTAGCTCTACTCTTCAGCCCTGGGCTCTCTGGGTTCCCTTGCATGTGCTTTCCGCGCACCAAAGTAGGAGGGTGTCCAATCCATCCGTGCCACAGTGGTGGTGCCACCGTGGAGCCGCAGGTTGCACGTGAAGATCAGTTTGCTCATGGCCTCATGGCGCTAGGTGGTTGCATGAAACCACCCAGCAAGGAGGAAGGATCCGTACGACACCTGAACAAGGAGTGGATCAAAAGCAGGCACTTGAGCTCCGACATGACACCTATTGCATGTTCATGAACCTCCTACGGGTGTTGCTTTTGATTCGTTTGATTGGTTTGATTGATGGCGGTGACAGAACTCGTTGAAAAGCAAGACAGTCCGAACCTGCGACTCACCACTGGCGACAAAACTCTAAGGACGGACGGCGAGTGCTGAAGATATGGACAATTCTCTCAATTCTCTCAAGCCTCCAGGGTGCTTTATTTATCTTTATTCCTCATTCGTCACTTGTCTCATTGTAGTTGTTGTAGTTATAGGTAGGTTCAACCCAGGATATCCCAGGATCATCGGATCATCTTCGGAATCACCCAAGCAGAGCAGTGTTGCCTTCGGTGTCCCGGTCGGTCCAGTGGATTCCGCTCTGCGGACCTGGACGCCTGGTTCACTTCCAACTCCAGCTCCACAGGGCCGCCAGGTGGAGCAAAGCGCACGGGTGCTGGGAACAACCTCTCAACCGGTGGACAGAAGAGATGAATGCTGACATTGAACTCTGAATTGCCAGCAAATTCTCACAGTCTTCAACTTCAACGGCCTGGTGCCGGGAATTTGAAGCATGCATTTTTGGGCCATTTTGGACCGATGGGGGAGGTCATCTACACGATCTTTTTGACCCACCCTGGCGCTCCGACTGCAGCTTTCGCCGCCTCCACACGGCCATCCATCGTTGCGAGAGCTGCCGCAGCTGGACCTCGGCGAAGTCGGTCCTTTTTCGGAGTGGCGAAACGGTGTGGACGCTGTGGCCCGAGTAACGGTGCACAGTGAACATGGGATGTTGCCCGAGTAGCAGTCTGCGCAGATGTCCTCTCTCACGAAGACGATGCACCACTCTAGAACACTGGCGGTTTTGGGGGGAAGAAGTCGTCATCCCTGTGATCATGTCAGTTTCCAAGACCCGGATATGATAGCCAAAGAGATCCAAAGAGGTTGTAAGTCGCGCCGTGACTTTGAAATGTTGGATTCTGGATGCCCCCCATCCCAAATGGTCGAACCTGCCATCTTCCCAACCGTGACATGGGTTTGGGTGAACGAGGGTTCCCAGGACACAGCAGGGAGGAGTCTGACAAGTGAAAACACCACACACAAATGACAAAACATCTTTCGCGCTGATTCCTCGCCTTTCGTTGAATCAAATGTCACAAACAAAAGGGGGAACCCTTCACAAAACAACGACATGGAAGAAAAACGGAATTGGGCCGGAAGCTTGGACCAGAATCTGATGGGCGGAAGCTTGCACCGGAAAACCATTGACCACTCAGCTGTGGTGGGACACCCACCGATCCACTGACTCCGACGGACCCTGGACTCGATCGCCCCCCGGAAACCCCGTGCGTCTCACGCTGAGGCGTCTCACGCGGCGGGTGGACATCCTGGGATGCAAGTTGAGATGATGACCAATCAAGAATGCCCAAAGGGTTCACCAGGACCCAAACGCACAGGGTTTATTGTAGAATTGTAGAACCTCGATCTGCTGTAATACTTGCCAGAAGTTTCTATGATTGTTCTGCGTGACCGAATCTTTTCATGAGCCTCATTCATCTGCGTTCTGGATGAAACCTCCATTTTGTGTTGAAACCAGGATCCCCAACTTGCTCTCGCGGTGTCTCTTCGGTGCAGCCCAGGCTTCTCCAGCACACAGCGGAGGATCTCATCATCGCAGCCAGTGGTCAAGAAAGGAATCTCCATGGCAGGGCCATTTGAATGCGACTTGCGGATGATTTTGAAGCAGTTCATTGAAACCAAAGTGCCATGGTCAAGACTTTTGATTCTGGATTTCTGTCCCACTTCTTTCATATTTTTTGGGGTCTCTCTCACTGAACACATAATATCCAGGATTGGGGCAAAAATTGAACATAACTCAACCATCCACAGCTTGTGGGGACACAGCTTCAGCCTCCATTGCAGCAATAAATCATACTGCTACCAGTTACTGGGCCATCAAACATTGTAACTACACTTCTAACTGGGCTTTGGGCCTTGCAGGCCGCAAATGTTGAAACAAATAGAAACAAACTTGCAGATGCCCATCAACTGATCCATCCACAGCACACCAAAAGAGTGAGTTCAGTTGTGTGTGGAAGTATGACGCCATCCTACATTCTTGGATGTTCTATGATGTTCTCAAAGTTTGTGAAGTGGCTTGAAACTGGGCTGCATCAGTTTAGATGGCAATACAACTATATCGTAGAGAACGTGGCTACAGTCCAGGCAGGCAACTCATGAACGCATTTAAAAACCTGTTTATCTCTTTTCCGATTGGTTTGGACACTTCTGGTCGAATGTGCAAACCATTCCTTGCCGTCTGTGCTATCTCACATCATACTCTTGAATGCCCTGTTGGCAAAGGGGACACAGTGCGTTCCGTCCAATGATCTGAAGGATGCACTGCTCACAGAACTCCCAATGTCCACAAGGTCTCAAAATGATATTTGGAGGACTATTTCGGCAAATGCAACATTCTAAGTCTACTGTTCTACTTGCTGTCCGCAATCTCAGTCGTCTGCCTCCCCTAGCGAGAATGGCAATGTCACCGCGCTGGACTGTGCAACTCCACTTTGCAAACGGGTGGGACTGGGAGACCGTGAGCTCAAAATCTGTGTCAAAGCTGTCAGCCACCGTTGGAGGGTTCAGTTGCGCGGCCATGTTGCTTGCGATGTCCACTGACATGACGCCAATACCGATGAAAGCACGCCATCGATAGAACTTATCAGTCAGGGTACTGTCTTTAATTTGCAAAGAAGCTGTGATGGCCTGATCAGATCGGTTGTAAACTGTAATAGGGACCAGCTGTGCATTCCGTGCCTTTTTGGCATAAATATCTTCCCTGACACCATAGGCAATGCCGGTGGCAGCTGCTCCAGCAACCACTGTGCCTCCCACACCTATGCCAATCACAGCACCGAGCGGCAAACCTGTCATGACTGTTGCTGATGTAGTTGTGGTCACAGTTCCCCACGGAATGAATCCCAAGAAGTAAGCGGTCTCAGTTGCCGTGGTGGTCACCGTCGTGGCGATCGGTGTTACCACAGAGGCCGTGATGGTGCCTGCAATCCCTCCACTAATAGCTCCAACCGCACCACTCCCGCCAAGCGATCTCACAGCAGTGCGAGCTTCCGTACTTTGTGGAGGGTTGCCACTGTTCCAGCATTCGTTGACGAAATGCTCGCAATTGTGTGATAAGACGCGATAATCCCATGCCCCACCAGCGGCCAAAGCACGAGCACGAGCAAGTATTTGGCGTCCCTCTTCCACTGTAGCAGGTTGTTTCACCACGCGAGGTTGACCAGAAGATTCAAAAGAACGTCTTCCTTCCACAACCACACCACCATTCCCATTGTTGCCTTTGCGACTGACGTGTATGTATTCCTCCATCTCTTGGTCAAAAATTGCATGGTGTTGACAGCTGAAGCCTGTGTTGCCGCTGGAGATGCTACTGCTGCCTCTGCCAGTCCCATTGTACACAACAGCAACATGCATGCACGGCATGATTCCTTCTCTTCTCAGCCTTGTCCGATATTCCAGCCAGCGGAAGAAAAGGTCTGCCATGTCAGACTGGGCAGGTTTCAGCCCTGTCCCGCACAATGGATATTGGGATATGATGTGAGTGCATCACCGGAAGTTAAAACATGGCGCATGAGGTCCTTCAAGATCACAGCACACTTAAAGAAAAAGGCATGATGGAGGACCGTATCCGTAGAAATATGATAGCACAATCCTTCATTGAAGCATACCATCTTAGGGATTTCCCTGAATCCATACATGTCATACCGATGGTCGGCCACAGATTTGCCCATGCTTGCGAGTTTGGACATCGAGACGCACGGGCCGGGCAGTGGAAGTTGGTTTGCACACAGAAGTTCGTTTTACCCGTGGAAAATGGAACATCTCCATTGTTTGGGAGAATGCTCTGTGGGTAGGAAGTATCATGTTTTCTTGAATGTTTTTGATTGTCAGGTCACATTTACACCAACATGTTGAACTTACAATAATGGTTATATTTTGACATCGGGAGTCCGCTAATCCCTGTATGACGCATGTTGAGAAGCCGCAGTGGTGGCAGTGTTGGAATCTGGCTTTTCGACCACTTGGGTCCACTTGGCCTTCCTTGAAACATGTACACTCACAAAACCTGAACATAGAAAAACAAAGCTCATTAACACGCCACCTCTTACGACTGAGGTCCGAAGATCCTTGTTCGTCCGAGGCCTTACGGAGGACGGCCGGTACTTTTCTGTTTGGGGGAGGTGAAGTATGATGCATATATTTGCAAATGAACAAGTGTGCTCATCTGTTGTCAATATCTTAAAGAGATTCACGAGTCGGGATATAGCAACCTCTGAACTCGTCTGCAGCAGCTTTGACCACTTTGGACAGAGCCGGTTGGACTGGGTTGGATGTTTGTTCACAGACTTGCTCTGGATTTCTATCGCCTCCCAGCAAACAGCTTCTTTTCTGGCTAAAGCTCCGGACGCACGGCCAACTCCTGGAGCGAAGAAATCACTCTGTGACAACGCGCAACACTATTACAACTGAAGGTAAACGGCAACTTTCATGCAGTTTAGTAACTCTAGAACAAACATCATTCGAAGGTGATATCATTGAAACATGACATATATATATATATATTTATAATATATATATATTATATATATATATAAATCTACAGTTTCCTCCCGAAAACGAAAGGGATAACTGTTCTGTCGAGTAGAATTCTGAGGCAATGACCAGCTACGTGGGGTGCTTGGCCTACCGTGCAACCTGGTCAACTCGACAGACCGGACAAAATAGCTCATGATAGAATATCATTGACCAGTATTGATAGAGTGTCCAATATTGGTCCAGTCTAGAATATGATAAAATATTGGTCAGAATATGATTGATAGAGTTGTTCTGACCAATATGGGGACACCCACTGCCAGGCTACCTGGCTTCGGCTCATGTTGCTAGGCTTGCTTCACTGCAACTTCAAGGCAGTCCCATGCACACATGCTCCCTTGCACCGAAACCATGCTGTTTTTCTTTGCAGAATTGGTGCTCTACAATCCTTTTGCACAAGGCCACAAAGCTTCGACTGCGAAATGTCGAACGCCAGAGTTTCAGGGGTGTCAAACAGGTATCAGCGAGTCTCCCTCTTGAATGATTTGAACGGAAAGGACGCTCCCTCGTCAACAACACCGCTGACCGTGCCCCTCCTGCAGCAACTGCAACACCGGCTGGTGCCCAGCTTCCATCGCCAGCTGCAGTGGTGTGGTGCTCCCGCGTGCTGTTGAAGCGAACCTCACAAACTCTGTCTTTCTGTACTGGTAGGGCCTCTTTCGTTCTTTGTGAGCCTCAGTTACCAGTAGCTACCCCAGCTGCAACAGCAACTTCATCCACAAGCAGCAACGCGGGAAACCCGGATGTGACTGGAACCTCAAGAGTCGACTCAAATGAAGACGTTTTTTTTTCCGTGAAAACGGTGAAACACCAAGTCTGAGGGTCACTGCTTGGGTGGGTGCGGCTTCCAGCATGTTCCAGCATTCCATCCCACCCCCCAAGGGGGAGGAATGACAACATCCCTTCCATTCCCGTGACCCTCTCTCCGGCCGTTGAACGGGGCCCTCTGCTGCCGGTGGCACGGGTCGGCTCGTTGCGCCACGAGTTCCCTCAGGGCGGCCCGGTGCCCGAAGTGGGCGGCGTCGTGGATGGCCTCACCTGAACAACCAGCGAAGAGCTGTTGGAGTTATGTAGGATGAGTTTGGATCCTGAAGTCAACCATCACCAAATTTTGGTATTGCCTTGCAATCTTCGCCCCCAAAAAATGAAGATGATTGCACACAACAAAAACACCAAGTGAACAAATGGGACCTCTGGCAGAAGATCGTCAAACAGGCTCCTGGACGCTTTGCGCAATTGCGCAACAGTTGGATCCTTGAAGACCGAAAGAAACAAGAATCACTCGTAGGAATCAGAAGCGAACAACTTGGGATAGCTGCGTCAAAGCTAACACTGGAGAGTTCTGGTCATGTGACTGAAGACCGAGTTCTTCCACTGGGGCTACTTGATGCTATTTGGCAGCGCCCGATTTCACGAGGAGCTCAGGGCAAAGCTTGCAGTTGCCGCGCCTGCGCCTTTCAGCCGCTGCCGCAGCACAGCGTTGCTCTGGAGCAGCGCTCGAATCACCGGCACGTGTCCAAAACGAGCAGCACCTCGTTTTGAAAGCACAAACCGCCCTGCGAGATCATGCGAGATCGTGCTGGCGGAGCATCTTCTCCCCGAGGTGCACTGCATGCCCCCCCGGTGAGGCGAACGGATGACCCGTTAACTCACTGTCCGTTCATTCGCAGTCATCGATCAAACCATCTGAGGATCGAACTCCACGGTGGACTCTGGCTCTGAGGCACTCACTGTGAAGCAAGGGTTCCTTCTTCTTGTTCCGCCGCCAGTTCACGTCGGCGCGGTGTTGAACCAGCACCTCCACCTGGGAACGGTGGGGAAGACTGAAGAGTAGCTGCGTAGGGGCTCGGAATTGGCTTTCAGGACAAGAATCAATTCTACAGTCACTGATCTGTGGTGAATAAAGGCTTTCAGGCCTGGCACTAAGCTCTGCATGTCGAAGCCAAAGGACAGCTTGCGATGAACTCAATACTCAGAGTGCCGGGAACTGACTACAGTGACTTACAGGGTCAAGCTGCAGCATGTCAAAACAAAGTAGAAGAGGGGAGGCCTCTGACACATAACAAAACACCTGAGAAGCTGCAAAACCAAAGCCAGCGTTATTTTGTCACGAGCGGCACGGCTGCGGTAAAACAAGGTCGCAAAGCAGCCAAGAGTTAGTAGTGAAAACTTCAAAAGTTGCATGAAAGCTGAGACGTCTCCTATGAGCCTCTGGGTCTTCACCATGTGTATTGCTTCCATCTATATAAGTTGCTCGAGGCCACAAGAAACGGAACACTTCATGCAGCTGCTTGTTTACATTTTACCAGTTGCTCAAATATGGATGCTGAAAGGCATTGCCCGAAACCATCGTGGGTATCCCACCGTCTCTGTGATGGGATGTCTTCATGGCTCTCGAATGCTGTGAGGGGAGGCCAGGTCCGCCACCCCCAAGGAATTCAGTTGCAAGGCAATAAGTAGACAAAGCCGCAAAGACCGTGTAGTAAGCTTTTTAGTCACTAGAAAGGTTCTTGTAAGTACAGGTGAAACGATTCCGAAGGAAGCTTCTAGTGACTATTAAACTTATTTGTTGCACTTCCAGCATGCGCCGAGTTTACGTATACCTTTCTCGGGATGCGGGATTGGATCGAATATCCAATGATCCAATGATGTTGCACTTCAAGTTCCCTCTCCAGGGTGCTTTGAACTTATATAGGTGAGTCGGAAGTATAGCACAATAGCATTTATACGGACCCAAGGTAACTACAATTCAATTGCATGGTATAGCACTTCAATTTCCCTTTCCCCAAGCCGCTAGATAACCCTGGAGAATCCATCCACATTCAGATGATGCAAAAGCAAAAAACTGCATTTCTTGCATCACCACCCGCTCCAAAATCACCAAAACATCACCTCCAAAACAACCTCCAAAACCTTCCATCCGTGCACCCTCCTCCCCAGCATGTGCCGAGTTTACGTATACCTTTCTCGGGCCACCCCCCCCCCCAAACACCCTACCTACTCACTTCGTTCGCCAAGCACAACAAAGCTGGCGCCTTCTACGAAGGCTGGCTTTAACACATTGTAGTAACATATGTACTGTAACCAACACAAAATTGAGAGAACAGGAGTAACAGGATGAGTGCAACAAATTCCTTAACCATCCAGGGCTCAGGGTGTAGAAGATTATATAGCTCAATTTCATCACCTTTTTTGGCCTCGAAACAATACCAAGCAACCATCTGGACATCTCACGGTGCCGCTATTCTACTTTGGACAAACACCAATCTCAATACCTGGAGATACCTGGAGCTTGAGTTTCCAAATTCTGCTGGGTCATAAACATGTCGTTCTGAAACTTTCACGAATGGTCACCAAGTGGTTAGTTCCGAATTCCTCGATTCATTTGAAGACACCTGTCACGAAGACAGTTCAGGTGCAACATGACTCCTGCGATCCCAAGATATTCACAGCGTTTCGAACTCCGTCTGAAGATACTCCCAGGAACAAACATGGAAGTGGAAAAGGTCCTTTCGGAAGACCCTGAAATCAACTCCAAACAGGGGGTTTTCCACTTCCATGTACGCCAAACATACCCTCAGCATCCCTCCCAAGATCCCCAAGACCAAGTTCTTCTGCTCAGCCACCACGTCACTCTTCCCTGCCATCACCGCAGAGTTCAAAGGGCGATCCCCAAGGTCATCCTGCAGGTTCACATCCTCAGCTGGAGAAGCCGTGAATCGTCCCAGCTGGTGGGGTGCAATGTTGTCTGCCCAGTCATCCAGTGGTTTGGAAATGAATCACGGGCGTTCAATCTTGCCTCACTCGCCACAAAACCACTGACCCAGTTCAGGCAAGCAACTGCCCGATGGGCGAGCAACAGCTGCACCACCGGCAAATGGCCCTGCATCTTTCTCTGGCCAGATTGGCCAGTCAACTCCAAAGGTTTCAACATTTTTCAGCCATCTTCCCCACAAAAATGCAGCGACTCCTCTGGGTGCCCCAAAAATTCTACCCGGGGACCCGGGTGACCCATGGCAAAACCATGTCTAGATATCTGTCCATGACCAACATGGACGTGTATATCGTATTGAAAAGAACCATGTCTTGACCCAGTGTTTGGGTATCTTAGGTGGCGCAGGAGCTCTTCCATGAACCGAAAACGAGCGAGCCATCAGCCTTGTGGCAGGCCGTGTGCAAAGTATCCCCCATGGGCGCCTTCTTCACCAGAAGCTCCACTGCCTAGCCAACACCCGACCAGCCAACTACAAATCACTGGTCCTGCTCACTGCTCCTGACATTTGCTCATTTGTATTCGATTCATTTGTTATATAATTCACCTCCACTCACTGACTTGAAAAGTGGGTATGAGCAATGCTTGCCTTTACTGCAGCTGAGCCGCCTCTGTGTGTCCTGACAGGAAGTATGGGACACTGCATCTACTGTACTGCCCTGATGGAAAGGGATAAGCTACATACATAGCTGGCATGGCAATGCAGCTAGCGGTATACCCGGTGTGAGACATCTTGGTGACACTTGCTCCCCCAGTCCGTACTCAGCTGCTTGCTTCAGCAAGGCATTCGTTGCTTTCACCTGCACCAGGGTGGACATTTGGGTTGGGCATGGCCGAGAGATTATGAAGACTGAAAGACTTGTACAGCTAGACCACGATCTACAATCTGCAGTCCTTCAAGGTCAACAAACACATTTCGAGTTTGGAATCTGATGTTTTGCATGCTCTTGCTTGATTCGCCCCCCAACTCTGCAGTCGAGTCTTACTCATCCGTGGTCCCACGGCCGAGTACTAGCGTTCGGCCCCGCCTTCTTCAGACGGCTCACATTGCCCACAGAGGCGGCGTAAAGCCGTTCATCGTCATTGGGGTTGTACCTCCACGTTTCGCTGAACGGTATACCGGCTGAACGCGGCTGAACCGTATTGGGTGGCTGAACGGTACTGGGCGCCAAGAGCTGCTTGATTTGGTATTTTCTTCGAAGCAGAAGCACTTGGAAAGGAGTCCTGTGAGGAACGAGCACTCGACAATGGGCCAATGGGTGTCTGCAACTCAACTGATGAATCTGGACATACGTAATATGATATCCCGTCCCGCTTGGACTGCATGAAACTAGCACAATGCTTTTGCAGTATGACATGTTTCGCGCTGTAGATAAAGTGTCCCGCAGAGCAGAACCTTCTCTAAATACATCTATACCACTAGGGAGGCCATTTAAGATTATTGAGAACATAACACGGAACATGGGGTTGAAACTGAAAGGCGTTCTTCATGCGTCCAAGTTGCTGCTGTGCACCAAGTCCAAACGTCCAGTCCGAGCGATCATAAGTGGCCTTAAGATTTGTTTCGGAACAACACCACTTTCATCCTCTTCTGCAAAATGTTGGCGCTGGCGGTTGGCAATGATCAAAGAATAACGCGACTGAGTTTGAAGAGCTCTGTGATACATTGTGATACTATGTCACGACCCTTTGTTCTGATAAATATTATTTGGCAAAGTTCCGGAGAATGACATGCGTGTACACCGGCCAGAGCTTCTGATTGCTAGTGTTTTCAATTGACGATTTGAAGTTAACGTTCCTTCAAAAGCAATCAAAAGGTACTTTGGCAGAAAGAACACGCGCCAAAGGTGCAAATCAAACATATCCTCCCAGTAACAATACCCCACACACACACACACACAATCAGCCGAAACTGGCCGAAACTCATCTTGTAATGACCTATTATCATGACCAATCACAATATTGAGTGACACTGAACATTTGCTTCATCCCTTCTTACCACCCCAAATGCCAGAAATCATGCAAGCAACAAGTGAGCAAAGTCTACGGAATGACTGCGACGCAAGGCACGCCAGCACTTGCTATTTCAGATGATTGGCGGAATAGTGACAGGGTATTCTATGCTGGGGCGATGTCCTGTAGAAACCGGGAGTGTGAACTTCAGGTCTACGGAGGGAGAAAACGCTCGGACCGAGCTGGTCTTGCAGTAGGACTGTGCAGTAGGACTTTCTGTCTTCCAGCAGCCTGCTAGGACGAGGGCATCTGTTCTTGATCATTGATCGATCGAAGAAACATGATTTATTTCTAGCTACTAGTAGTAAGGCACATGGCCGTGACACCAGGAGACCGACCGGGCAGCACCGGGGTTCGTAGCTGGCTGGGTCAACATGGTGGGTCACGACCCATCCCCAGATTGCTTGAAAAACGATTACGCCCTCAAAAATGTTCATAAAACATAATCATATATCATCATAAAACCTGAAAACGACTGGTTTGTAAAGGAAGACAAAGGTCCATGCTATCAGGTTCCATGTGGATATCTTTCTGGGTGTACAGTAAGTCCGGAGACCAAATCAGTGAGGCCAAACCAAGCGTCATGCCACCAGCCACCAGGCAGAATCACGACGTCACCCTCATGCTGCACGCAGCTCGCCACACCTTGCGTCGGATGTCAACATTTCAAAGTATTCACATTTGGCAATATGCTTCGGTGAGTGTGTTGGATCCTAAGGGAATGCAAGTCTTCCATGTCAATTCGCAGCGCTGCTATTAAATATGTATATAAAGTATATATATATATATATTTACGACTAAAGTTGACAAAAAACAACAGCTCGAATCCACATTTAAAAACAAAACGAAGAACGACAAAACAAATTACTTTACTTCGAGTGATCCCCACCATGACATTCAATCAATTGTCTTCATGCCATGGTGATGATCATGTTCTCATGGTCGTGAGTTTTGTGGTTCTCGATTTTGTGTGTGGGTCCTCAGGTTGTGTGTTGTGGTTGTGTGTTTGTGGTTGTGTGCTGTGGATGTGTGTTTGTGGTTGTGTGTGTGTTGTGTTTGTTGGTGTTTGTGATTGTTTTGTGGTTGTGTGTTTGTCAATGTGTGTTCGTGGATGTGTTTGTTTGTAGTTGTGTGTTTGTGACTGCGTGTTTGTGATTGTGGTTGTGGTTGTGTTTGCGATTGTTTGTGTATTTGCGCTTGTGGTTGTGTTTGTGGTACACTGCGAGGAGGAGGCGGAGGAGCACGAGGCGGAGGTGCCGGAGGTGGAGGACGACGGCAGCTGACATAAATCTAACAACCCTCACCTGACAGGTAAGAAAAAACAAATAAAGTGTTGCGCACAATCAGCGGTAAAGAATATCTTGCTCAGCAACTGCTTGTTCCACCCCAACTGGGCTCCCATCATCCATCCCAGGAACCAGGTCGTCTCTCCAACTCCGCCATCGGCTGGTGGTGATGCGACACGTCTTCCAGCTGGGCACTGGGTGGGAAAACGAACCTCAGAACAGGTTGGGGACGATGCTGGGTCCCTTGAGGCGCCGCCCATGGTTCTCGTTCCTGTAACAGTCTGAGGTCGCTGATATTTTACATTCAAAGTATGTTAACATATTGCTGTCTTGAATGGAATCTGTCAGTCAACTCAAAAGCCCGTTTGCACTGGCTAGCAATGTAATGGGCACAATGCAGAAGATTGGCTTTCTGTGGGGATAAGAAGCGGTGTCAAACAGTGAAGGTTGGGTGGCTTGGACTGCATGGGAGCCTGTTTGAACACCAAAAAAGATGGCGGATCTAGCGAATCCTGTATCCACCAGGACTGCAACGGATCCCTCGCGGTGGCTACCCGAAGCTTTTGGGGATACTACAGTGGTACTCTAACTATCTAAGAAGACGAGTCGAAGGAACCTAGCTTTGCTGTGCTGTGACGTGTTGTGGTTCTCTGCTACCAGCCACAGTCTAAAATCCACAGCTACATGAGCTACATGGTCCGCCGGGCGTAGATGGCCAGGTGGTTTCGGCACCATTCTTTGTTTGTTGAAGAAGTCGTTTTACTCATGTTTTCCTTAGCATGTCTTTGATTGTTAAGGGTTTTCGATGGTTTTTGTGCGCAGCTGTGTGTTTCCAAGAAACTACTTTGGTTACTCATGGTTGCATGTGCCGACACAACAAAGCAAAAACGCAAATATATATTCTGCAAAGATCATGAGGTTTCACACATGAACTGCATAGTTGTCCGTCTACGCCAGTGGTTTCACAGACCCGGAGTTCACCACAAACTTGAAATCGATGACTGAAGCCGATGATAATGCTGTGAAACATTGTGAAACCGATTTACCCCAACCCCCCCCCCCACCCCACCCCATTTTAATCACACGACTAATCTGTGATAATGTGTCGACGACAATGTTGTGATGTCGATGACAATGTTATGACATCGATAACACACAAAAAGTACATATATATAAATACCATGCCTTTTCTACATAATTGCTCGAAACCATAAGAAATACCATAGAACATGCTTATGACATCTTATGACCATTTCGACGCTCTCCCTAGTGGCCCTGCGGACACATAGCAAGTCTTGTAAATACCACATAGAATTTGCAAACAAGTGTGCTCAAAATGACCCAGCCGCCTACGCCCGGCAGGCCAACTACATACAACTACTCTGGTCAAGCTCCAAATGTTCTCTTAATTACCTTCAAGCTGTGTGGACGCCCCTTTTCAGCCTTTTGGAACCCTCTTCATGGATCTTCATGGCAAATCCCAGCGGCCAGCGCTTGGCACCGGCCAAAAGTCCCAGCCAGCTGAGGAAGTGTTGGTGCAGGGCGACGCCTGAAACGGCGGCTCCGGTCAAACGATCAGCTCCTTGAAATGTTTTTTTGTGCAGTCGAATGGAAAAAGCTCTCTAGGATTCTCTTACACTCTAGGGCCCTGTGACTTGTTGACTGATTGTTGAATGCCTTCTACGAGAATGCTCCATGGCCTGGAAGGGGAGACTGAGTCGAAACAAACAACTACCCTGCTGTTTCCACCCTTGTAACATAACTGACATCCAGCATATAAACATATGAGGGACGGTCAAAACTCCTTATTCAACTAAAGAATGGACGTCATCGGTTTTGAGTTGACCTTACTTTTTTTTACAGTGTTTTGAGTTCGTCGCATACGTATGATCATATACAGCGTTGTCGGTTTTGAAGTGGACCTTATCGTTGTGCAGGGTTTTGTGCACAAACCTACCCCTCTTTACTAAAGTGGTCTTCGGTCTTCGCATGTTTTGACCATGGCTCATATGTAAACCAAACAACACTTAAAATGCGAGGCAACAAAGCTTGCGTTCCAATTGGTCCTTTTCAACCGAAGAATCCATCCAATGCCATCCAGCAACACCGACACATGACCTAATTGTACCTAATTACTGTACAAGCTCGTCCATTGGAATCGACACCGTTCGCGACATGTTGTCAAGACTCCTTTGGTCTTGGAACCCAGCACCATAAACCTCAGCTGGATTGAACAGAACTCTTCGGCCGCGTCTCCGCAGGGTCGAACCGGCGTACAACTGGATGCCAGCCGTGAGTGTGGCATAGCCAGTTTTTGCTCACCAGGATGGTGTTGAAACCATTTTCGGAAGCCAATCTGCACTCCCGAAAAACAAACAAAGCGGACACCTCTCCGGGATTGGGCATTAAACTACTGTGTTTTCCAAAGGTCCTTAAGGTCAAGTGGGATGTCAACTGGTCAAGTAAGGCCATGGCCGACTGCTCACGCTGTGCTTCTGCAGGAACTCTGGTATTGGATACACCTCCCGAATGCGGGGCCACACGAGGTTCAATGGGCTTTTGTCCGTGCCCACTCACGTACAGAGGGTGTGATGATCCTTGGGGCTTGGCAAACGTTCACGTACAGCCTCCAACACAAGACTTCAACTGATCATGCATCTGACGAAAGTCGCCTGGAGCAGTCTCTGTTGCAAATGATAGTGCTCACTATCATGCAAGAAGGAGAAAAGGTAGCCTTGCACGCGCTCTCTCCATGCTCTGACCGGATACAAGTCCGAATTAGATCAAAAGGTTACAACCACAAATTACAGTTGGCTATGAAAGCATGGCATGGTTGCAAAAACATGAACTCTTATTGTTGGCTGAACAAAGAAGGAATATCTTCAATTTTAGAGATACTGTAGTGTGAGAAAGCAAAAATTGCTACAGGTATCTTCAACTCATGCAGGAACTTGTTTTCTATACTGACTCCCATCCACCATGCCTTTCAAGTCCAAATGACCACTAGGTAATGACATATGAACATGTAGTATAATGGTTTGTCCGCAGTTTCTCCCTACATTTAAGAAACACTTCCAGGGATCGATCAATATACTAGCCTATGCAATGAGTAATGTCTTCTTGAATCTGGCTACTGGACATGTCGGTCAGCCATCATCCCTCCCTCAAGCAAGGGGATGTCCCTCCTCAAAAATGTTCCAAACGATCACTCTGGCAGACTCCCTGTAAGATTTTTGCTGACCCCCCTGAAATTACACCTGTAAGACCTGCAAGCCCTGCAAGGGGGGCTGATGGCCTGTCGTGTTCGGGGTGTGAAACTCTTGACATGTCTTGAACCCCATCTGATCATGGACCCCCTTGAAGGATTCACCAAAAAACCTTCTGCTTCCGAGGAGCGGATGCTTCCAGGCTGCTCCCAGGACCGAACCCAGTCTTCGATTTTGGACAGGAAGCTCTCCTTTTCGACGTGGACACGGTGGAGCGAGGAGCATTTGAGCGTGGCACAAGAACGGAAGTGCTCTTTCTTCACCGATGCAGTGACACCAGGGACGATATCCTTACAAAGCTTTAGCATTTAGCATGCTTTAGTTTCCTCTAGACTCTAAATGATCTATCTCCGTGAACCCAAACAAATTAACGTAAAGTCAAGCTGGATAATCGTCCGCCATAGGCCCGATCACTGAAGCTTGATCATTATTCCGCAACAGGACATATGACATGTGGCTCTGGCTTAACAACAGAACTCCCACGCTTTGGTGCTGGAAGGAAAACGTCAGCAAAACCTGAGCCCACAGGACCCCAATCCAAGGTCAACCATGTTCAAACTTGACATTCTGAACCAACGCACGGGTACACATGTTTCAAGACAGGCCATCTTGTAGCCTGCAACAACAAAACTAGCATCACTAAGCAGCTGTTTGAAGAACAAGCGTCAGGCTTCGTGCCAGTCATACTTTGGAACTCCACGTTTCGTGTCAGCAGGACACTTTCCTGGCCAAGAGTTGAGACTTCGATGCACCTAAACACCTGGACCTTCGAAACGACACACATCCATGCCTTTTTGAAACAAAGGCTCTCATCCTTTCCCAAAGATGGTGTCTTTTGTCGTGGCAAGGTGGAAGTCAGCAACATCTTGTTATAACGGACCAGGTGATGGAAACAAAAACAATTTGTCTTGGCGTTGACAGGATGCTATTTTGGGCATCCAAACGGTGCCTGCTACGGCGTCTTTCCCTGTCTATGCAATCGACCGGGGTACGGCGTGCTTTTGTTCTGCTAGGATGTGTGCCAGGCAAAAAAGAAGGTCCTTTGGACATGCGGGCATGCCTGAGACACTCCTGCGCGCATGACATGAATTCGTGAACACCGCTGACTCCGCGAGGAAACTTCTCCAGCTGGGCTTAAGTCATTCAATTCAGAAGTTTCAGTGAAAGGGAGAGGACCTCTCATCCTGAGTTTCAGGATGAGGGGTCCTCTCCTTTCAATTACCCCCTCTACTCAGTGAGGGGTCCTCTCCTTTCAGGATGCTTCACTTCTCAAGGTCCATCCGAGTGAACCAGCCATCGTGAAGCCCTTCCGTCCTTTAGGTGCCCGGTTCTGCATCACGTGGGCGTGGTCGCCGCTTGGTTGGCCAAGCCGCGTTGGCAAAGGTCTGCAGGAAGTAGTCCTTCTTCCCGGAAGGAAGCATATCCTGGAGTAGGTGGGCTGCGGCCCGATTCAGGAGAGGGTGCGCTTGCGTGGCTGTGCCATTGGGAGAAGAACACATGGCTGTGTTAACACACGGTGCGGGGCTGGCAAGCGACGCGCCATGGTGCGAAGGGAATGTTACAAGGCAACTGACTGGAGTGGTGAATGCTAGACTCAAGACATGTATATAAAACAATGTACAGTAAAACATACCATGATGCACCCACAGTTCCCTTGCCCATGACGTGACACAGGAACTTAGTGGGATTTGAAAGTTGGCATTGATCGGCAAAATGAATAAGGCCATACACACCGTGCAAGAGCAAACCACTGTTGATACAAGTAGCAGCTTCTGATAGCAATCCTCCCACAAAGGACAAACACAACAAAACAAAGCTGGCCTAAAACATCCCAACCGTTGGGGCTTGACCGATTCACCCATCACAGGCCTTTCTCCCGGTCGTACGTAGTACCGTACCGCGCCTGGAGCACGCCGCGGAGGATCACAGGGCCCGGTAAGTCTGACAGGAGGCTTCCACGACCTCGACAGCGGCGCCCGGCGGATGGGAGCGACGACGACGCAGCGGAGCGGTGGCTGCGACGAGCGATGGCTGCGACGTCTCATTTGCCTTGCTTGGCAAACATCACTCCGGGTATGCGATCGCAGGATGAATTGAATCATGGGCAAGTCGTGGAACTGCATGGATCTCAGTGTGAGGCTGCACAAACCGAGATCAAATTTCAAGGCTTTTGAGTCCAGAGGTGACCTGACATGATACACAGCAGTTGGCCAAACCATGTTGATACAAGTCATGGTGATCCTGTTCTTACATGTTCTTACCTTACTCCTTCCACAAATTGTCAGCTTGTGTTCGGCCCCATGTAACATCAAGAACACCTTGATTGCGTGACACATCGTGACACTGCGATGACACCTTCATGCGCGACCTCGGCGAGGGCGACATCGATCTGGCGAGACCTCTGAGCGGCCCATCCGCGGTCCATCCGGCCGTGGCACTTTCGATGAAGTCCTGCGAGACCTCGTCGAAGTCGCACGCCCGTTGACGGCTCGGCCGCGCCGTGGACAGCGCGAGCGGCGGAAGAAGCATCGCAGCACGAAGGGCCGCCATGGGACCATCTGGAGAAGACACGATCGACAACGCGACAATGGTCACCGTTTTTCTGCTTTTGTTTTTCTGTTGTTTTTTTCCTGGCAAACCAAAGGTAGAAGAACCAAGGGTCCCAATATCACGATAAACATTGTATAGTATATGATAACTTATATGATATTATATAATAAATATACATATATTAGAGATATAGAGTTTTGCACTCTTCATTATTTTGTTGGCAAGGTTCCAGCTAAACAAATCAACCTGAAGGTTCTTGCTTGAACAAAATCATGAATACATGATGGATGGTTGGTGGTCAGGGCTACTGGAACCCAACTTCAATAATCAACAAGATCGCTAGTCAGCGCACCTGTTCGGAAGCTCTGCTGGAAGCCAGCTGAGTCGAGTGTCGAAGCGTCCTACGATGTTTAAATACTGTTTGGATGGGCCACATAGCTGGGCCTCCTTCGGCTGCTTCACGAGATCAAAGGATGTCAGGATTGTTATGTTCAGTTCCTGGAACACTCCCTATACATCTCCCAGCAGAACACTGCCGTTTGCTAGTCTTACAACCGGTTGGCGGTCAGGGCCTTTCAATGATCTCTACCTGCGGACATCTCCCCCTCCCCACAGCAAGAAGACCGAGCTGCACGGAGCTTTTGCCGGCAGGACCGTCCCCCATCTGAGGCTGTGGCATCGTCTCTGTACTCCAAACGCCATGAGGGAAGAGGTGCCACAGGTGATTGCTGCGACCTAAGTGGAACGCCACTTCCACTGAACACTGAACTCCCCGGATTTTCGACTCCAGGTTCAAAAAACAGCAAGCGCCCAGAACGCCCATCGCCGAAACAAAGTCTCGTTCTGGGCCACCCCCGGCTGAAGTCTTTGCCACGCACAGCGACTGGAGCCCAAAACAGCTCCCGAAGCTTCATGGAAGACCACCTCGGTCAGTGACGGTCTCCGAGTCTCCAAGGGGGAGTCTTCGAGGTGTACTGCGTGGCGGAGTGGATGGGGGATGCCTTCTGAAGTCTTCGGAGTTCCACCGATGGTTTTCCACCATCGTCCTGAGCATCCCTGCACACCAGTATGGAGGCCTGTGGCTGGAGGCCAACCTCAAAGGATGCTTGGTCGACTGAACTAGATTCAATGAGTATTGATAGACAGATTATATATATATAACTCTTTGTGATTTATAGTTTGCTTTATAGTTCAAAGGATTTAGATGTTTATCATTTTATCCAATCACATCTCCAGGATGATCCAACCAATTGACTTGAGAGGAGGGAGACACGAAAGGTAGGACAGCGGGAAGAGAAGAGAACGCGAGAGGCAGGAACAACAATGCAATGTTCGACATGGTGATTTATCCCCTCGGAGGCGACCTTTCGTAAATACAATTTCATATGCACTCTAAATGTTCAAACATATGCTCTCGAAATGTTCAAAAATATTCTGGAAAACAAACTTGCCCCATGGCTCAGATCATCGGTGAGCATTGAATCGGAGCATCATATAGGATTTGAACTATCCTGAAGCCATAAGAGGCTCACGAAGACGTTCCCCAGGAGAGAATTGACGTGCTTCACAAAACAAACTCTAGGTATGTATCCCCTTTCGTGATTAGAATTTCATATGCACTCTTTCTGAATGTTCAAGAGGGTTTCAACTATCCTGAAATCATGAGAGGCTCACGAAGACGTTCTCCAGGAGAGAATTGAATTTTGTGGGGGGGAGGGGTGGGGGTCTGTATTGAGAAATCAATTCAGGGGGGGGGTTGAATTGAATGATCAATTATTAGACCCGGACGCGCCAACACTTGCTTCGCAAGACAAACTCAAGGTATCCCCTAAAGGGCTACCTTTCGTGATGTACGTTGTCACTCTCGTGGTCGTTCCGATCTCCAGGGCCACGCACCGGGCCGTCAGCCAGGACCAAGGCACACCGGTGGTCATGGCACGATCCTGGCGACGGGTGTCTCTTCCAAGGCGAAGCGCGACCGCAGCAAGAGAGCGACCGGATTGAAAGGTTAAGGTCATTGCGTAGCTTCTTCCCATGGGAAACAACAACAACAACAAACTAAGAGCCTTTCGCGTCAAGGAGAGGAAGTTGGAAGGACACTGAACCACAGAATCACACGTACAGTACATTTCAGATTGTGGGATGATGAACAATGTTGTGTTTATAGGTCAATTTGTGGGGGCGGAAGCCGCTCCTGCAAGGCTCTGAGCTGTCGGGCCGCTTCGAACTCCCGGAAGTAGCAAAGCTCTGAACACAGGTGCCTGGTCACAGCCGTTTCTGAAGAAACTTGGCGCGACCATGGCACCCATGGCCGACGGGGGGATCCAAGAGGTTGTGCAAGATTAATCGTGGATCTATGTTGATCTCTCGAAGCATGACATCCAGAAGGGACACTCATCTTCTGCGTTCTTCCACTTTCTAAAGGTGTGAGAGGTCTATAGATACACCAATAGGATTCAATAGGAGCCTCACAGCGTTCATTTTATTCCTCCTCCAAAGCTGCCTTTGTTCCCTGGATCAAACATAGGGAGAGGACATGGTTTCTTTGGGCCACTAGGCTAGTTAGTTTGATGCACCACCAAACACACCACACTGAAAATTCATGACTCATGCAATCAAGAGTAATTATCATGGACCCTCTGCACATTCTGAACAATTCATGCATCCAGCGTGGGTCCATGCCACCTTTGGCTGCTTCGGCTGCCCTGTCTCAGCCTGTAGTGGCCCTGCCGGAAGAGTGCACAGCGGCCCCGCAGCTGCTCCAAGCTCGAGGGAGCCTGGTGGCTTGTGCGGTTTCAACCACACCAGCAGAGTGGATATCCTGAGGCTCGCTTCTAGATTGACCATGTTCCACAGGATATCCACTCTAAAGTGAATTGATTTCACCAATGAAGGGTGATCCACAATCCTGCTGATGTATCCAGGATGATTTTCCATCACCAACCGTGCACGTATCGGTTCTGCCAGATTCGTGCCTCGTCTGGAGGCGACGTCAAAGACATCTCTTCCACGGAAGGTGGCTCTTTTGGCCTGGCAGGAAGGCCGCAAAGGACCCCCCCCTCTGTCACAAGTTACCCCCCCCAAGTAACGGTGGCGCAATTATGGACCCCCCATCTGTCTAGGACATCATGGGGGACACGTGGCATCGATCCTCTGAGATTCTGAAACCACTGAGGTTAGGTGCTTCAGGTTCAACTCCACATGAGCGATGGACCAGGTGTCTCCACATCGGACCACGATGAGTCGGAAGGACGGACCACGGAGCTCCAGCTTGGACGACATCTTACATGACCACCTTGGGATTGAATGGGAAAATGGATGAAGATGGACGTTTCGGGACAAAGCACTGTTCAAAACAAACCATTTGGGATACGTGTGATCACGAAGTCGAAATATGTTGTCGCCGCGGAAGCATCAACCGTCAACAAGTCCGCGAAGATGAGCGGAGACTGCCTCGTCGCGAGCGGCTTTCTGGAAGCCTGGAACCACATACGAACGATGCGCTAGGGCCATACTTCTGAGGGAAGGGTCACACACATACACACGTCGTTTTCACCACGAAGGATTGCTTTTGCCTCCTTTTCTGGGTATGTTTTCATACATTTTCATACGACTCGTAGTGGTATGACCGGTCATCAGTCCCACTCTCTCTATCTCTTTCTCTTTCTCTCTCTCTCTCTCTCTGTCTCTGCTGGTCGTTTGGTTTCGTTCCGAAGCCTATGAGTACTATGAGGAAGCCAAAGATTTGAATGGTGTACAAGAGTCACAAGAGCCTTCACCTATTGAGATCATTGATATCTGTCAATAAATTTTCGAACACCTAGCGACATCCTCTTCCATCTATAATACTTGCTTCAATGCAAAGTATTAGTAGTTGTTACTCTTGCAATTGAAACGGGAGAGATGAGAAGGCACTTCCTTGCATCATACATGAAGGAGTTCAAACAGCTCTGCCGAATGGATGCCACTGTGATTTGTGTATTAATGTGATGTTTTCTGGCGGCTAAACTGCACATGTTCAAGCTGCTATGTGTGCATGTCATGTGTGCATGTCGCATTCCAACCAACTCCACGCCTGGCACGCCGGAGACTGTGGAGACTGCGCCGCCGCCCTTCGCTCACACCAAGGGCATCCCGAGACCGTCTCACCTCGTCGGGCCGAACTGGACGGGAGTTGGGCCAAACTGGACCTGGTCATCTCTGGCCTTTTGGGGATGATAAAAACATGTGTTCGAGAGGGCAAACACATGCAGCCATGAGTCCGGAAAAACGGACTGAGAGTGTCTCATCCTCCCTGAGCAGCGTGTTTTTGTTGGTCACTCTACAGATGAACAATGTCTCCACAACTGCACAGGATACTAACAAGAACAAATCAAATACAACACAATATGGTTTTTGCTTGCGCGAAGAATACTGGGGCCTGCGCGATTTAGTTTTGCATTTGCGGGGTATGATGCAGTTCCACTTTCTTAAACACTTTGCAAGCCAATATATAAACTTTACAAGCCAATAAAACATGTTGTTCACCTGAATCTTCGTTACATTTTCGTGCTCAGCCTGCAGCCGTTACGCCTTTAGGTCATCATGCACTTTCTGGAAGATACAGTAGGCTGTTCTTCAACTTCAAACTGATTTGGCAAATTATCCCGTAGACACTGTGCAACAGCAATAAGTCATGCTACAGTATATAAAGGATTATATAGAGGATCATAAATGACAACCATGCTTGGAATGTATTATAACCATTTGCATGGCATTGCAAAATCCCTCAATGCCAATGCAGTTTCTTGTCATCTCAACCTCATCATGGTCATCATGGTCGTAACTGCTTACCGCCGTTTGGAAGGCTTCCTGCTGCATGGTGTTGAACTTTGGGGGGACTAGATTACCACCAGGCTCACTTCGATAGAAGGCCTTACCATGGCCTACCCTTACGTCCCAACGAGTGATTCTCTGGCCGGGAAGACTCGTGCCCCAAGCGGCAGAAGCCTCCGCGGCTTTTCCGATGGAAGAGCTCCTCTAAGACGGTGTCTCCCAGCTTCGACCAGGACTCCTGAACACCCGGAGCCGCCGGGAAAACTGGCACTCCAAAACCGAAAGCACGGGCTTTCGCAAGGGTGTCGTGCATCGTACGTGTCGAGCTATAGTGAACGAACCGAGAAACAAATGGAAACGTTGGAATCGTTTGATTGCTGTCTGTATAATTACTTGGGCGTCTCACTTCACTCTATGCATGGACTCGCTGGGTGTTGTGATTGCAAGCCATGAGATGTCCATCTTCATACTCTCGATATCGAATCATCACAACGAAGATTTGTGACGAAGCGACGAGCAGTCCGCGTCAGCCGCATCAACCATCTTTGGGTCCACGACCTCATTCAGTCGCGGACCGAACGCCAGGCGTTGGACGCCAGGACTGGTGCTTTTCCTTGTGAACTCGTGGTGTCCGACTCTGGTGAACTCGAACTCCCACACTCAGAGTCAGAAAGGAAAGACCAAAATTATTCGAAAATATGATGTGTCTCTGTGCCAAGTCACTGAAAATTAAGAAGGGAAAACCAAAGGTGGTCTGAGCCCCCAACATCCCCCAACAATAAAACGTGATGTCGGAAGCTCTCAGGAATTGTCACTTTGAGATCTAGTGCGGACCAGGTGGAACATCACTCTGGCCTGTGAGGGGTCTCCCAAGCCCAAGCTGCAAAAAACACGTCTTTGTTTTCCAAAGCGGCCTTTCAAACGTCCAGATTTCGCAATTGGCCGAATTACTGTAGCCATTCAGACAATTTTGAGCACTGGCAGCCTACTCAAATTTGAGACCTTCCAGCCAGTCGCCCGTTGCCACCTATCCCTCTAGACCCTGCAGGGAGACCTTTCGGCCCAGTGCAGAGTTGGATGATGGCAGTGGTGGTGGCATGTTGAAGCATAAAACCAGCGCACCTTAGCTTCGCTTGAGGAACTGACAAGAAACACAGCATTCTTCCCCGAAAGCGCCCCAAAGAGGGGGGAAAGCAAACAAAAATGTCCTCAGCCGCCCTAGACAAGATCAGGGCGCTAATGTTATCCAGCCTTTTCATTTTGACAGCCCGGGTTGCGATCCCTTCCGCCGCGGCTTGCGGAGACTGTGTTCTTGATCAAAAAGAAAGGTTGCACTCCCAAAGTATCACCAAAATGATTGGCGCATGAATGTCCATGTTATATTGTTCAAACATAATTCCGAAGATCTGTGTCCGGTGTTCTACAATGATTGAACGAGCAACATGCCAAATGAAAAATCATGACTCACACCAAGAAGGGCTTCAGCGGAGAATTTGCCGTACACAAAGAACGGCCTCTTTGTTGGCGACGCCGCCCTCGAATATCCCGTCAGAAGCTAGCAGTACGAATTCGGTGTCCTCGGTGATCGAAAACACTGTTACTTCGGGCGATCGAAAACACTGTTACTTCGGGCTCACAGGACACTCCGGGACATTTCTTCCACGACTCGAGACTAAAGTCTCCAAGAGCTTGGAGACTGTGATAGGCCACCTTCAAGGTAACCATCTGTGAGGAAGTCGCAACACCTTCTGTGGCCAAACGGGTCAGGCTCGTCCGGTTTGTGGTCCTTAGTGAGGACCTCGAGCGCGCCTCCTTTGCAGCAAAGCGCGCGACAGTCGCCAAGATTGGCCACCGCTAGCTGAAGCCCCTCGCAAAGAGCAACACAGGCGTAAACGCCAGATGACAATCCGTAGTCTGAATTGGATTCTCCTTCCTTCTGGAAATGCTCGGACATAGCCCGGTCAGCCTCGTCAAGGGCTTGTCTGAGTCTCTCGCGCGGATTGGGATCCCGCTCTTTGCCCAGGAGCTTGGGTAGCTCTTTCTTGACAAAGCTGACTGCTTCTGTACCACCGTGGCCACTCTGCCATCCTCTTTCCCTCGCCCCAAGCATGGGCAAATGCTGGCTCCCATTGTTTGAAATGTTTCCTTTCCTCTTCCTATCAAAAGATGCAGAATTGATCTGATCATGGGACTCTGCCAACCAAGATTAAGATGATGGTCTTGCTATTAGACATAAGTTTCTTGAACCTTGCCTCCAAACTATGTTCCAGCGATCTGAACTGCAAATAGCTACCGAAGCCACCGTGCATGTGAGGGACCTTGACCACCATCGGCTCATCAGGTCCGCCGACATTTTCGTTTGTTCGTTCGTTCGTTGTTTTGTTTCTGTATATATATATATATGTTGTTAAGTTAATTATGAAATACATACTTAAAGGTATAGTACAGTCTCTTTGCCGCATTGTTGCCATGGTGGTTAGGTGCCTCGTTTGAGTTCTGACTGAGACTGGCACGGACTGGTCCTCCTCTACAATGACATCGCTGTCCGACTGATCAGCCGCTTCGGGCGCATGCTTCTCAGAGGTCTGCATGGAGAGGGCTGAAGACGCCGCGGACGTTTGGACCTGTGGAGTCTGGAGCGAAAAATCTCCGGTGGTTGGTGTCATGGGCCATAGAGATTGGACATTGACCGCGCAAAAGACCCCACACACTTGGACAAGGCCTTTGCCTTTGAATTGCTGATTGACCCCGTCCAGATTTGGTTCTTGACCTTGAAGGGGACATCCTTGTGAGGCTGAGGCCTTCGAAGACCTCCCCAATTGGAACAAATGGGTCTGGGTCAAAACCGGGGGACCCTGATTGACCACAGAGAATGAACAGAATAGACTAGGAACTGAAGTAGAGAGGGCAACCTAGCAGGGTGAAACGGGCTCCGGGCTTTGACCCACAACCAAAAATGTGAACAGGGAGTGCATCAACACCGCCCAAAAGGGTGGTCAAGAGACCCACGGCCCCAGCCCGCCTCTGATGCGATCGGTGCATTGGAGGCCGGTAAGGCGGGTAAGGCCTGGGGTGGGATGCACACTACAAACAAAGAAAAGTGGATTTGGGAGAAGACTCCCAAGCCAAGGCATAGACTTAATATGCGTTCAAAAATATGTATGTGTATGTATATATAAATGTGTGTATTATGTATGAATATATATATATAAGACACACTTCTCTCTCAAATATTGCACTCCAACTTCCGTATCAACTGGAAACACTTCATCCAAAGCGGCTGGACCCCCGAACAAGACCGGCGACTACATTCTTGACACTACTAGTAACAAGTCCAATAGTACTAGTAGCTAGAAGCTACTAGTACCAAGTGCATCGCTACTTGTTTCTAAGTACGTTGCCACGGGTAACAAGGGCATCACTACTAGTAACAAGTGCACCGCTATACTAAGCGCATCACCACTCGTAACAAGCGCATAGCTACTAGTAACAAGTGCATCACTACTAGTAACAAGTGCATCGCTACAAGTAACAAAGGCATCGCTACTAGTAATAAGTGCATAGCTACTTCACAAGTGCATCGCTACAAGTAACAGGTGCATCGCTACGAGTAACAAGCGCATTGCTACTAGTAACATGTGCATCGCTACTGGTAACAAATTCATCGCTACTAGCAACCTGTGCATCGTTATTAGGAACCAGTGCATCGCTATATTAGGAAGCAGTGCATCGCTATTAGAAACATAAAGGACGATACCACACGGTGAAGCGAGCACGTCTTCTTTTCCGTGGCGATCAGACGATGGTTCGTGACCTGTACTCCTGCGGTAAGGAAAGAGCTTCCAAGACCTAAGCACACTCCTCGGTTGAACAGCAGTATTATAATAACACTGGGTAACAGTCGTGGTTTGGAAAACACACAGACTAGCTTGATAAGTCATCTTTGATGATCTTACCTGATCACACAACAGGGTTGATACCAGGAAACCCGAACCCAACCCTATATATAGTACCCGCAAAGGGTGTCAAGGGCGGCAGTGGGTGGGAGAAAAGGAAACAAATTCCCAAACTTGAGCCAAGATTGACATCAAAGTTTGGGAATCAACACTTTATGTTTCAAATCTCAACATGTCCCTACCCAACCAACCATTCATGTTGAAGGATACGGAACCAGTGCATCGCTAATAGGAACAAGTGCATCGCTACTACTAGTAACAAGTGCACCGCTACTAGTAACAGGTGCATCGCTACTAGTAGCAGGCTAATCGTAACAGGTGCATCGGTACTATAGTAACAGGTGCATCGCTACTCGAAACGAGTGCATCGCTACTGGTAACAAGTGCATCGCTCCTCGTAACAGGTGCATCGCTACATGTAACAAGGGCACCGCTACTAGTAACAAGTGCATTTATTGCTATACTACACTAGTAACGAGTGCATCGCTACTACACCAGGAACGAGTGCATCGCTGCTACACTAGAAACAAGCCCATCGCTGCTATAATAGTAACAAGTGCATCACTAGACTAGTAACAGGTGCATCGCTACATTACAAACAGGTGCATCGCGACTAGAAACAGGTGCATCGCGACTAGTAACAAGTGCATCGCGACTAGTAACAGGTGCATCGCTACTAGTAACAGGTGCATCGCTACTAGTAACAGGTGCATCGCTACTGGTAACAAGTGCATCGGTACTGGTAACAAGTGCATCGCTACTGGTAACAAGTGCATCGCTACTGGTAACAAGTGCATCCCTACTGGTAACGAGTGCATCGCCACTGGTAACGACTGCATCGCTACTCGTAACGAGTGCATCGCTACTGGTAACGAGTGCGTCGCTACTGGAAACGATCAAGTTGGTAACAAGTGCATCGCTATACTGGTAAAAAGTGCATCGCTACTGGTAACATAAGTGCATCGCTACTGGTAACAAGTGCATCGCTACTGGTAAGAAGTGCATCGCTACTGGTAACAAGTGCATCGCTATACTGGTAACAAGTGCATCGCTACTGGTAACAAGTGCATCGCAAATGGTAACAAGTGCGTGGCTACTGGTAACATAAGTGCATCGCTACTGGTAACATAAGTGCATCGCTACTGGTAACAAGTGCATCGCTACTGGTAACATAAGTGCATCGCTACTGGTAACATAATGCATTCCTACTGGTGACATAAGTGCATTGTTACTGGTAACATAAGTACATCGCTACTGGTAACATAATTGCATCGCTACTGGTAACATAAGTGCATCGCTATACTGGTAACATAAGGGCATCGCTATACTGGTAACATAAGTACATCGCTACTGGTAACATAAGTGCATCGCTACTGGTAACATAAGTGCATCGCTACTGGTAACAAGTGCATCGCTACTGATAAGAAGTGCATCGCTACTGATAACAAGTGCATTGCTATAGTATGGTAACAAGTGCATCGCTATAGTATGGTAACAAGTGCATTGCTACTGGTAGCAAGTGCATCG